CCTCCTCTCACCAACTTATGTTGTTTCGTAACGTCACTCGTATATGACGCCATGGTTATACTTTAAAAGTGTTTGAAACTTAAAGATTCAATTGCAACTTTAAGCCAGTGGCTAGGCACTTAGGTAAAGAAGCATTTGTACTTGAGCTGAGGAGTCATATGGAAAACTTTAATATCTTGAACAAAGTAAATATAAATAAAACTAGCCAGTAAACTGAGCTGGAACCCAGCACTGGATTGGTTGTCCGACGTACCTGAAAATAAAGTCTAGATGACGTAGGAACCTGCAAAAAAAAGCACACAATCTAAAGCTGAGATATCCAAAGATTCCAGAATATTTGCGTGTGGATGAGATTCGGAGGAATGTGATTATTAGCGGGCAAACAAGTATACCGTGACTGATTTAAGTAAAACTACGTCCTTTTTGGACAGCCGGCAAAAAACTAGACAACTTATAGATTTCAGCAGGTCACAGATTCATCTATGCTGCCCAGGCCCTTCATTACAAAAAAGTGGAACTTTTTGAAGTAAATGTAATTTAACAGCAACAACTCCCAGTGGTTATGCGGTTATTGGTTTCATCTTCCGAAGGTTGCGTGAATGGCAAGTTAAAGGACGCTTTAACTCCCAAGCGTGCTAGATAGGCTGACGTTATTCACCGAGTCGTCGAATCGACGAAGGACATGTTCTTCTTAACCAACCAAATCCCTTTTGAACCTTATAATTGGGCGCTTACTTGACATTCCTTGAAGCCAACTAACAATTTTGCCCAATCCCCACTTTCGTGTATAATGTGATAAAACTGCATAAACATACTGTTTTGCGCTGAGTGTTAATGCAAAAATGATGAGTATCAGTGGTAGGTAGTAGTAATTTACTCGATCCACCGAATCATCGTTGAAATTTGGCTTCAGACCCTTCAAGAATGCATCCAGAAAGAACATCCTGGAAATGAAGAATTATCAGTATTTTTTTACAAAATTTGCGAATCTGGTCGCGCAACGTGTTATGAGATGCAAACGCGTAGAGATTTCTTCGTATGGGAAAAAAAATCCGAGGGTGTCTTTGAAGAAATTTAGCTTATCATGTAAAACGAATAAGAGAGGCTCAAAATAGAGAAGAATGGAGAAATTGCCAAATGCATTAGCAAGGAGACGGAATCAGCTGATGAAGATATACAGTACGGAATAAAATGTTTTTCCTTAATATTGTTTAAACATCATTACATACGCATGTTTTTAATCCTCACATTTCTTATGGAGCTAAAAGCTGCTCATGTGAATCACCAACAAAGATCATCG